CCAGCATCTGCAGTTCCTACTATCTCTTACTTTGTAACCTACCCGCTACATCCAGATCAGCCTTGAAATGCAAGAAATGAGTGTGAATATTCCCCAAAAGGTTCTCTTCAAGTTTTGCTCCGTACTGAAGACCACTCTCAGAGAGGAATGATGTCAGTGCATACCCTGACGGATGGACCTTGGTCTCAATCACGCCGTTGTGGTGGAATATGTAATCAAACACATAATCATAGTTGCCCACGGTTGAGATTGACCTTATGATCAGCACGCAGTCCGCCAGCCCCCCGTAAGAGGGAGCTGTGTACCAGCTGGAATAGTGCCGCCTCAGGGGCATCTGCTTATTCTGTTCAAAGATACAGATGGAATTCCTGATCCGCCCTGGTTTCTCACTCTCTGTAAAGTGAACAGTGTCCACGAAGACCGCAGTGTACGGACAGTCCACGCCTCTGACTAGTTCGTTAGCAGATCTGCCAATGCCATAATGATTGTCTAGAAACTTGGTCCTCATTAAGGAGGGCGAGTCGCCTCCATAAACGGAGTTGAGCTCCTCCACACTTAATTCATAGACGATCCTTTCCTCCATGAATCGGATATTAAACAACTGCAGCCCATTGATAGTGCTGTGGCGGAAAGCAAATTTCCAATTAAAATACTTCACATGGTTGTGGACAACAGAGTAGCGGCGGCCTTGAGGCTCATATTGCAAAGGGGAGACTGTCTGATGTTTCATGTGAGGTTTCAGCGATGCATAGTTGGGATCAGATTGCTCTCGGTGCAGTCGGATTTTCTTGACAGTGCCGCGATCATACTGAGTGACCAGCTCCTCGATGCTGTCAAAGTACTGGCCATTGTAAAAGACCTGCTTCACTTTCCACTCGGAGATATTGCGGCTGCTATGGTCCATCAGCACCTCAAAGCCCAGGGGGTGCATGAAGATGCCACTAACGTTTCTCAGGAACGGGAACCAGGTTTCCCGGTCACCCGTTTTGAAGCCACGAGGGGCAGAGTCCAGATGGACCAGAGCTTCCCAATCAGAGCCGAAACTTTGCAGAAGGACCCGAGAGGCTTTCTCCAATCCCATTCTTAAAAGAATCTTTTTATGTTCGAAGCTTGTCATAGGTCTGGAGTGAAAGCTAAGGTTCTGGTATTTCTGGGAAGTAATGTCTTTGTGGTAGGTTGGATTTGGAAGAGGTCCCACCACATATTCCGTGATATTGGGCTCATTTTGATCTCCAAATACCACCACCGCTCTCGCTTCTCTCCTGGGTTGGTTTTCCCCGCTGTCCAAAAACTTTAAGACCTCACTTTTCCGGGGGAGCTGAAGTTCGATCATGTGAATGTAATTGTCTGAGGGAAGAGCTTCAATGCAGCTCAGCAGCTTCACCCTAAGTTGGAGCCTCAGATACTGCACAACGCTAGTTAGTTCCTCACTGTCCAGGTCTGCAAACACCATACTCTGAGACCTCTCCCCATGCACCTCCTCCAACAGCCCTGTAAACTTAGCGTACTCACAGCTTGCCGATTTCGACAAGCCCACCAGCAAGATCCAATTTAGGGCTATAATCGCGACCAGAGCCACGGCCAAGATAGCGAACAAAATCTTCAAATTCATGGCGAACGGGAGAAGCAGCTTTCCCCCGTTTACCTTATGAATAACAACATCCAGACGTTTTATAGCTGAAGGGAAAACATTGCGCTGATTGGTTCCAAACAATTTGACGCCGCAGTATCTGATTCCCATATCTTTCTGTGAAAACTGGGATCTTGAGAGTTTAACTGTTTACTAACCATCAGTCCGTATGATGCAAATCTACAGTATAACCCGTAACCCTCCTTTGGCGTTAGATTCAATCAAATTTTGCACTAACTAGATCTTTATGGGGATCATTTTAATTAGGAATTTTGCAGTATTGAAATCAGATTTTGTTCATAGATTTCCACAGTGACCTTCATTCGCTGAATGGAATGTTAATTTTTGAACGAGCAATCCTATTGAATAATATACAAAATCTCATCCGTGAGAGCAGGACCCAGGCTGTCTGCTATCCTTGTGTTGCTGGCTTTGATGAAACCAGACACGTGCATCTTGCGATGAAAGGGGTATTATTTATAGAATATAATCATATCATTTTCCAAGTTTGGATTTCAAAATAGTCAAATACAAATGTTGCTTCTTTTGTCAAGGGTTTTATGGACAATAGGTTAGAACATCAGAACTACGAGCAGGCGTGGGCTCCACCATTTAATACAATCATAGCTAATCTCATCTCAGTCTCAACTCCATTTTCCTGTTCTCCATAACCGTTCAACCCATTACTAATTAAAAGTCTGTGTATCTCCACCTTAAATTTACTCAATGTCCTGGCATTCATCACTCTCATGTCCTGAATTCCACAGGTTCATGTCTCTTTAGAAGTAATTTCTCATCATCTCTGTTTACAATCTGCTATCCCTTATCCTAAAGTTATGACCTCTTGTTCAAGATTGCCCCACAAGAAGAAACATCCACTCCATGTCTACATTGTCAATCCCCTTTAGCATCTTATATACCTCAATTAGATATCCTCTCATTCTTCTGAACTCTAGAAAGTATCAGCCTAAGCTGTTCAATCTCTGTTCATAAGGCAAACCCCTCATCTCTGGAATCAGTCTAGTGAACCTTCTCCGAACAGCCTCCAATACAACTTTCTCCCTTAATAAAAACCAAAAGAACTGCAGATGCTGTGAATCAGGAACAAAAACAAAGTTGCTGGAAAAGCTCAGCAGGTCTGTGAAGGAAAAATCAGAGTTAACATTTTGGGTCTGGTGACCCTTCCTCAGAACTTCCTTCCTCATCAAGGGGACCAAAATTGCACAATACATCCGGTCACTAATGCCTTGTACAGTTTTAGCAAAGTTTCCCTACTTTTATGCTCTATTCCTTTAGCAATAAATGCCAAAATTCCATTTGCCTTCCTTATTACCTGCTGTACCTGCATACTAGTTTTCTATAATTGTGCACAAAGACACCCAGATCCCTCTGTAGAGAAGCACTCTGAATTTTCTCTCCATTTAGATAGTATGTTGCCTTTTTATTCTTCTGGTCAAAATGGACAACCTCATATTTATGACATGAAACTTCATTTGCTAAATTTTGGCCCATTCACCTAACCTATCAATATCCATTTCTCAATTCCATATTTCTTTATTGTAATTTACTTTCCCTTCAATTTTTAGCATCATCTGCAAATTTGGCTATTGAACCTCTATCCCTGTATCCATGTCAATTTAATATAGATTGCAAATAGTTGGGGCCTGAGGACTGAGCCCTGTGACATTACAGTAGCATTTTTCCAATCCACTGAAATCTTTTTCTGCATTCAGGTGATTTTGGAAGATTATAGCCAATGGATCCATTATCTCTCTTGCCACTTACTTTAAGATTCTAAGACGTTGGTATTGGGACTTGAGGACGCATCTGCCTTCAATCCCAATTGTTTACTCAGTACTTTTTCCCAAGTCATGATGATCGCCCTATGTTCCTCCTTTTCTATGACCTCTGCATTGTCGGTTTCTATTGGGATGGTGCTAGTGTCCTCCACCATGAAAACTGAGGCAAAATATTAATTTAATGTTGCTGCCATTTCTGTGTTCTCTATAATTAACTTCCCAGTCTCATTCTCCAAGGACTCAACATTCACTTTAGCTATTCTGTTTTATATAGAGAAACTTTTGCTACCAGTTTTTATATTTTGTGCTAGTTTTCTTTCAGAATTTTACCTTTACTCTTTTTACATTACATTTTTTAGTAATCCTTTATTGATCTTTAAATGTTTCCCAATCTTCCAGCCTGCCACTAGTCTTTGTAATACAGTATGCCTTAGTTGTTGTCTTTATGTAATCTTTAACTTCTTTGCTTAGACATGGATGTTTTCCCTCTCTTTTAATCCTTCTTCCTATTTGGAATATATTTTAGTTGACAGTTTTGTGAGAATTTGCCTTAGAAGACGCCAAAACTCAAAGGAAAGAAACCACAGGAATCAGTATAAATAGTACTTAAATATCTGATGTAGCGATGCAATTTATATCAATTTAAATCTGTACAAGTTGATGTGGTTGGGAAATGGGTTTAAAAATTGGATTTGCTGCTTGTTTTAAGATATTTTCCTAAACTGTAACTTTATCTAGATTGCTTCATTTGAAATTTTATTTTATTTTGTTATCATCTTTTGTGTCTAAAACTTCTATTGTTAAAGAAACTTTGCAGTCTCATAAGACAATGTTTCAATGACTGACCACCATATATTAAAAAAAATAAACATAATCGATAGAGCCATTTCTCATTCTGGAATCTGACTTGTCCAGTAGTACCATCAGCTGGGATCATAACAGTCTGCACAGCATGAGCAAGAGGACAATGTTAACAAATAAATAGAAAGCTGAATGTAGTTGAAGAAACAAAACATATTTATGTGACAACTTTCATGACATCAGGATGTCCCTACCCTGCTTCACAGACATTTGCAACTATGTACAGTTGTATAATTAGTATGGAAATTTTAGAAAACACTTTGCTCTTGGAAACATCTGACAATAAGAGAATCACTCAGCAAGTGAAGCAGCATTTGTGGAGAGACAAACAGAGTTAATCTTTCGAGTCAAATACACTTCACCTTCAGAACTAAAGGTACAGACAAACCCTTCTGCTCTTATTTGAAATATTGATTTATAATGCAACCATTGCAATGGGGATTTTAACATTTGCAGGACGCAGCTGTCTTCTCATCTGAAGAACCTCACCTCTGGCTGTACAACACTCTCCCAGAGCAACACTGGAGCATCAGCCTTGTACTTATTCTCATCTCTGGAGTGGAGATTAAACTTTTGATTCAAGAGGTGAAAGTGATACCATTAAGCGATGACTGACACTTCTTTCAATCAAATAAACTAGGGAAGCATTGGTGATTGAGTGTCAAACTTTAGAAAGAATTGAATGAGTTAGCGTGTCAAGGAAGACATAAAAGGAAATGTTCATTACCCTTTGGTGTTCATTAGTAAACCAGAAAATGCACAAGAAGCATAAGTAATTGGAAGACAGAGATGTATGAATGATACATTGTAATATGTCCTGAGAGTCAGAAATATCTATGATTGGAAAGTAAAACAAGTAAAATTAAAAGGGCCAAATTCAATGGATTATGGAATCATTGGAAGCTAATATTTTGGGGCAGTATTTTCAACAATGCACACACAGATCGTAAGTGGAATAAAAAAGGGCTCATGTGAATAATGTTTTACATGCATCACCACTGGACATTTCAAAACATTTTACAGCCAACATAGTTCTTTTGAAATTCAGTTGCTGTTGTAATACAGGAAAAGAAGTAATCAATTTGTGCACACCAAGTTCTCACAAACAGCAGTGATAACTATCAGATCACCATTCTTTGTGATGTTGAGGGATAAATGTTGGCTCAGGTATCAGAGAACACTAACATTCTCTTCTTTGAAATAGTGTCATTGGAGCTTTTAATTCCACCAGATTATGTCCACTGTCCCCACCACAGACTCTGTCCTAACTGCCAACTCCATCCCCCTCTCTACTAACTCTGGGGCTGATGCAAACCATTCTCATCTTTACTGTTTGTATTTGGTCCGATGATGAACCTTGACCACATATCTGTGCTATCAAGTGCTTATATCCCAAACCTGCTGCTGCCTCAGCTCCTGCTGAACTCCTCATTCATGCCAGTTACCTCTAAATTTGACTGAACTTGAGGAAATATGAAACTCCAAACACATCATAAATCCCAAACACGCGTCACCCTAGTGTCAGCCAACCCTCATTGGCTGCCAGTTAAGATTTTGACCCTTGTTTTTAAATCCCTCCAGGGCCTCATCCTTTCCTAAAGCTCCTACAACCCTCAGGTGTCTGAACTCCTTCAATTGCAATCCCTTGCCCATTCCCAAGTTATTGTTATGAATGTTTGTCTTATGTTATTATCAATTGTGAATGTGGATTCTGAAGGGTACAGAACCATGTATCGCATGATTTGTAATTCTATATTGTGTATATTAAATGGGGCATTTTAGTTTTATTTTGAGCTCTGAGTACTGCCAAGTTGTCTGGTTTGTCTACATGCAGTTAGATGAGGTCATTAGGGAACCTTTGACTTGAATAGTTCAGCTACATTAGCTGCACAGTAACCAGATAATTAAAAATGTGAACAGTATGCTGCAAAGGATCTGATGGTAGAATGATTCCTGTGTTTTTGACTGGCCCTGGCAGGTCGTAGCAGACCCAAACAAAGCATCAATGAGCAGGTTGTTACGGAGAAGGTGCTGTTTGTAGCAGTAGGAAGAACTGCTGATGATTTTTTCCATAACTTTGCAGATGATTGAGCATAATAATGGTAATTGGCCAGTGTGGATTTGTTCTGCTTTTTGTGGCTGTGTTGCATGTGAAATCACTTTCCGCTAAGTGTTTCATTGAGCTTAGTTCCTCAAATTAAAAAAAACACTGAAATCACTTACAATCAATTCAGAGCTTCTTTATATGATCCAGATTATCATTCTTCGGTTAATACTGGAATGGCGACTGGCACCCGTATAAAGTGAGTGAGCAGATTATACACAACTAATTTGATTGTCCCATGGACCAATGGGTTAATAT